CGCGGCCCTGCCGCCGTCACACGTGCAACGCGGGTCGCTCCGGCCTCACGTGCGGGGCAGCGGCGAGGGGAGCGAGACCGAGCAGCTGTCACCTGAGCGCTGGGGAAGGCGGCCCGCGGGACCACGGATCAGGGCCCTTCCAGCCACAGGCCGGCGTTTTAAAGGACAAAGCTGCGAAGTTCGGGCCACTTGACCCGTGCTGCCTCGGGCACCTCCTCGCAACGGCCTCAGGACAGTGGCACGAGGCGGCTGCAGCAGGAGAGCTGGACAAGGGGTGGTTCTGGTGCCACCCTGAGCGGCAGAGACGGGGAGGGCCAGGAGTCACGCAAGGAAACAACTGCAGCACGACCTCTGCCCAGGACAGCGAACAGAGGAAGCGGCTTGCACGGCTGACTCTGCAGTTTGGAGACGAGAGATGCGGGGACCTCCACAGAACTAAGCTCAACCTTCTCACAAGGCCCAGAAAGAGTAGATTTCTTTTTACTTTAATAAAAAAATCCCATACATAGTGTGATGCCATAAAGCAAACCAGAGGCGAGAGAAATACAAACTAGAGACAAAATGGGGGCTGTGAAACCAGCATTTCACACATCGCTCCACACTTCCAAGTCTGACACTGTTGGGAGCCCACTTAAATAAGTTACAAAAAAGGCTTAAGAAACAAAATAGAGAGGTTAATGTAATCTGTGTGAGGTTCTAGCAGGATGGAGACTGCCACAGTGGTCAGAGATCCGTCCGTGAACTGGCTGCCTTTGGTGCATATTTAGGCATTAGTTCATTGATTTTACGTATATAGTCTGATTTCTCTGCGCAGCCCTTGCACGTTTCACCCCAGTCATCTAGGATCTTCTTCAGCTCTTTCACTCTCAGTTTCTTCAGGTCCACAGTGCTCAGGTCAATCTGTTTGTCTACAGAAAGAAAGGAACATCAGTAACTCAAAGTAAAGAAAAAATACTGCTTAGAAGGGGTTGTGACAGCTTCTCTATCGGAAAAGACTACGGGCTTGGTCCCTTCAGTAACTGCCTACCTTCCTTATGTCTTTCGCTAAGAAAGGACTTGTGCTTTGAAAGTTTCTGCCCCAATCTACATTATAATGAAAAAGAATATAAAAAGGAAGGCAGAATGAGGCTTAAAAGAAAGCTATCAGGGGCATTATGTTGCAATTTAATAAGAATGAGGCAGGGCAGGAAGGGAGAAAATGCAAATAGGAACTGTGCTCAAGAGCTCAAATAACCAGGACACACACACACAGCTGTTGGACAGAGGAACTATAACAATTGTGAACAGGCATAATATAAGAGGGCAGGACAAAAAAATTGAAGGTGAAGTGCTGACAGAAAAGCAGAGATACAGGGGATAAGAAAGCTGAATGGTAGGTACAAAAACATGGAATCAGTTAAGATTATGGAGGGGAAAGAACAAGACGGGCAAAGTAACGAGAGGAAGCACACTTCAGGTGTTAAAAACTGGACAGATTAAAAAAAGTCAGTAAGACCAGAGAAGAGTTAGAGGAGTCCACATAAGCTACAAAGGGCATGGAATGAGTTCTGGCAGTAGGGAAGGAGGGAAAGGACAAGGGCTTTTGTGCTACAGAAAGGGGTGTGGTTTAGTGACACCTTTGAATTCTTAAACCCAGGCTAACTTCAGAGCAGTAAACTTTATGACAGTAAAGATAACAGAATTGTCCCCTGCCTTCTCTGGGGAAGATACAGTCTTAAGACTAAAGATACGCAAAGCATACCAGAAAGCTTTACAAAACACTAGCACACCGGAGGAGAAAGAACAAGAGGAAGAGGTTGATTTGAAAAAAAAAAAATAAAAAAAAATCAGAAATAGATGCGAGCATAAGAGTAGATGAAGCCAACTCAGTCATCTTTTCTCCTGGCTTGTCCCCCAAGATAAAAGCGTAACCTGAAGGGAGTAATCAGCGAAATTGGAGATGGTAGTCATGGAAACTTAAGTGGTTCAAATGTAAAAAGAAGAATCACAATGTTTGAGCATCTTTGACCAATGTAAGCAGTTTCAGTGGGGTAAAAATTAAAGTCAGTCTTCCACTGAACAAGAATTGCTTAAAATAAAATTAGTATCTTCTAAGCTCTTCTGATGCACCTTGGCAATGAGGAGCCTTGCCGCCAATAGCCTCCGGCCTAATTAATACAAATCAATATAGTCCACAATGACACATGCTGCTCCTTCAAAAACCCCTTGCCCAGTACTAGTTTATGAACTAATGATTCCAACTAAAGACTAAGGCTTTGGAATAACTGTAATAATAAACAATACATGCAGAAATTGAGAACTGAGTTAGTTTCTGCCATAGCAGCCCATTTCCAATTGCAATCAGAAATGTCAGCATGATGGGCTGAGGCAACAGAACAAACATTGGTGAGAGCACAAACAGAAAACCAAGTTCTGCCAGCAATCCCGATGGAAACACAAGAGCAAGTAGATCAATTCCATTAGCTTTCAAAAGATGCCGATTCAAAGCTAGTTTACATGAGAATATGCACCATGGAAAGAAGCCAATGCATGCTACACTGCTAATCAATGATGATCTATGCTGCAGAGAAGCATGATCACTGATCAGTTAACTGGACACAGGGTTTGCAAGCTATGGCCCAAGCAGGGGCAGATCAAGAGGGAAGGGCACAGGGGAGGAGTGCACTTGCACTCCCATTTGATTCCTGCTCCACCCAAACTTTAGAACCAACTACCTGGGAGGGGCACTGGGTGCCTTTCTATTCAGGTAGTGCTGATGAAGTCAACTGACTTCCTGGCTCAGGATTCCTGCTAATCTTTCTCCACTCTACAGGGGAAATACCATGACCACTAAGGTGGTTTTCCTGCTGGTAGGGGAAAACCACTTTCTTGGCAGGCAGTAGTACCCTGACTAGGGTAATGCATAGTTAGCCTCCCACTTTAACTTCCAGTGGGAAGATCTTGGCTGTACATCAGCTTCATGGAAATGGGAGACTCCTCCCTAGCTTGCTCCTGCAGCCATATGGCTGGGGGCAAGCAAGACTCAGTGGCATCTGAACCCCACGTCTCTGGGCTTGGGCCTGCACGTAGGACGCCCGCCAAAGGTTTTGGAAACATCTGAAGCCCCAGGCTGGGGTGGAGAATGTTTGCCAGTAGTAGGGCCACATATGGTTCTTGAATGACTCACAGATTTGGAATTGATTGGGCTGATTTGACTTGGGGCATGAATTTATTTATTTATTTATTTTTTTTTAAGGAAAATCTCTCCCAACTCTACAGTTGTCAACAACTCCCTGTCTAATGGTCTTGATATTCCACTATTCAAACTACCCTTTCTTCTGCAATTTTGCTATCTGCTAGCCATTCCTGCCTCTTCCATTTCACAGCCCTGCAGACTGTTTTTAGCTCTAGATAAAAATCCTTAACTCAGGTGTAGTAACATTAAAGCAGGCATAGACATGACTGACAGTGAAGTATTGCAGGCACTGTCAAGATGCTTAAGAAGGCTAGATTTTGTTTTACAAATCTGAGTAAGAGATGTATACTTAACTGTAATGACTACAGGACTTACGACATAATAACTTTTGACTATTTTGACCACTTTTTGCCTAGTTTGTTGTGACTTAATTTTATATACATATCTAGCAAATTATTGCACATTCCAATGGTTATATTGATTTTTGGTTTGATCTTAAGGTCATAATATAGTGCTAGGTACCTATCATATTAATAAACCTTCTAGTTTCTCTTTAACTGGAGAATGTGTGTTGTGTTATATTTGATGATGCCCCATATCGTCTCTTTTCAAAATCCTAGATCCATCCACAGGCTTGAACCAGCCCAGGAAAGGTTCAATCTTGCCTGGGGCGACAGCCCTTCCTGTTGCTCTCTTGCCTGAGCTGTTTCTTTCTGCAAAGGGACTAAGTATCTTCAGCTAGGGGTAAGGGAGGATGAGGGACGGAGTTGGGCAGGGGGACTGCTAAAAGGTTGCCAACCTCTGAACCAGAGAATTAAAATCTACCTGAACTCACCATATTTTAGCTCGCAGATCTGGCTGTCTTTTTTCTTCAGTTTCTCACAGACTTTTTCCACAGGAATGTGATGACTAAGGGGTTTTGACACCTCATTAATGATTTTTGTGGCTGCATCACTAGTGGCTCCAATGTAATAACACTAGAGAGAAGAAAGGAAAAAAATGGTGTTAGAGATTAGCATGCAAATTAATTTTTTGGATTTGACTGTTTTTCTTGGTCCCTTTCGTCTCTGCAAGGTTTTGTTTGGGATTTCTAATTACAGAATAAGTCCATGAGATTTCTCATGGATGTATTGTCAAAGCTGAGGGTATGCAAGCCTCTTACTCCTCTAGTCTCAGGGTAATGAGCAAATTTATTTTCCATTACACTGCTCAATGATCTTGAGACAGGTTATCCTAGTTCTTCCAAGTAACGTTTCATCTCAATTGAGTGCAGAATCTTCTCTGTTCAAGGACAAATTTGGAACATTTCCTCCAGCACACCTGGAAAAGTTGCATTACGTCTCTACTCCAAAGTCTCCTCAGGTCACTGTTCTGGGAATAGTTTGGCCTGTTCTATTACCTCTCCTCTGAGTTAACTGTCTTATTTCAGTTGACCATCTAGTAGGCTTTAGTGGTTCAACAGTAACCCAATTGCAACATCTCCTGCATAAAAGGTACTATAGAAAAAGTTACATAATCTTTTCCTTGCACTTCGATTACAAATAGAAATATGATCTAACCAACCAGAAAGCTAATAAGAGATTACAGTCCTTATTGCACTACCTTCTTCCCTTTACAAACCAGATTACAGATTGTGCTCAAAGTTAGGAAGAACAGCTTGAGGGTAACTACACTGTACCTACATATATGTTCAGTGACATTCAGCTAGTCATTTTCATTCGCCTCCCACAGGGGACAGATTTATTGTCTCAAAGAGTTTGTGAAGAATCAGCATTACTTACAAATCGATTCTCTTTGCCTTTTGCCTCTTTACAGGCTTTTAAGAGTTCCTTTTCCAAGCTGGCTGGTGTGAACTCAACATTAAGGTTGTTTAAGCCCTGATAGAACCTCCCCAGGAATGTAACGCACACTAGATGGAAAGAAAGACAGACAGAGATTAGCACCATGTATTCAAATCGGCAAACAGCATTTGGGAGAAAGCAACTAAGAAGAGGGTTTTGTGAATGAACTTTGCACAGACTGCATCAATAACCAAGAACAACTGCTGAAACCATCCATGTGCCATAGTAAAACTTTGGTTTGACATACATATATAAAACACTTCAAACTCTGCCTTCTTCTGAAGTGCTCTTAGATTTGTAATGCTTCAGCAGCTTAGAGATGTACAACAGCCTCCTAGCTAACACATCACTGATATGTTCTTATGCTACAGTGTTCTATAAGTCAAACCTGTATAGGTCAACTTCATTAAAAGGGGAAAAAAAACAAACAAACAAACAAAAACACAGCTTTTTGCCCCCCAAATATAAGTCAATAACTAGAGATAAAACCTATGAAATACTATTACCCTTACAAAGTGTTGCAGCACCCTGGTTGAAAAAAATCACTGCTCTAGACCAGGACTGTCCAACTTTTGAGTGGGGGGGGAACAGACAGATGGACTCCTGCAAAACTACATGAACCCTGTGAAACTACATTTCAGGCTGCACTCCAAATATGGGGACCCAACAGACTGTTAGTCCTTTGGATATATTTACTTCCCCCACCTATCCCCACAGTGAAACACACTGTACTATGGTATTTTCTTTTGGTCTGTGATCCAGCTTGTAGAAGGGAGACTTTCAAAATCATTCAAGTGATACAGGAACTGGCAGCATAGTAATTGAACCCAAGTTCTGAGGGATCCAAGGGAATTGCTGACCGCAGGACAAACCACCCTTCAGAGAGGGTGATCAAAAAGAAGTACATGCCTAAAGTCTACCCAAGTGCGAACCAGTGATTCAACGAAACAAAACACACACACACCCTTCACCCACAAGCCAAGCCTGATGTCACCCGAATTCATAAAGTAGCTTCCTGTTTCAGTCCAAGAGATTTTCAGGCAACTTGAGTGCTGCTTCTGTTCCACTATGAATAGGTAGGCATTTTTCTCTTGCCTAAATCTGATTAGGATTCAAATACTAGATTCCCTTGAGAGTCCTGGCCCATCAATGTGCTCTGAACACACCTCCACATCAGCAGGGATCAGACCTTCAAAAAGTATAGTCACGGCTGCTTTATTTTTAAAACCAAGCCACGCATGTTAGTTTTACCTATCTTTTATTAAAAGAGCCTAGAGGTCACAGCACTTGCTCTGGAAATGGACAGCTCAAAACTCTCCTCAGCCTAAGGGGCTCAAGCCTGTCTCATTCCTAGGAGCTGCCTAAGCAGCAGCTGGGAGGTGATGGTGGGCAGTGAAACCCTCCCAATCTCACCGGAAGCTGTGCTACTGTGCAGCAGCAATGAATGTAAGACTCAAGGGCTGAGAGCAAGAGTGAGCCCAACTTTAACACAGCACAGGCACCTATGTTCTCTTTTGACTCCAGCCCATAAAAACTTTAAAAGTTAAGAGTATCAGTTGGACGCTCGCATCCAAACTGCCCAGGGAACTTGCTACACCACTACAGGACTGTGGGTTAGGGATGAGGGCACCAAAACAATCCTGTGAGCCTTGTCCCCAGTTCCAATCCCAGCAACTTCTAGGGCTACAGAAACATGGTCCCTCTTCCTTGGCCTCTCTGGCACCACTTTCCTTTCTGCAGTGGGGCAAACCTGGATGGGGAGAAAACAGAGCGGCACCCAATATGCAGCCTAGGGGTTAGGGGCCTCTTCAGGATGATGCGTGTGAACCAGATCTCCGACTTCCTAGATGAGCGCTCCAGCACTAGGCTATTACCTAGCGAGACGGCAGCACCCCCTGTCCCCATCACGTTTGCAGAGAAAAAAGCGGTGGGTTTTGCTCAGTTCTTTGAGCTGTGCCTGGACAGACGCGCTCCTGCTCAGCAGAGGACTCCAGGCTCTGGATCTCGCGTTGAGACCGGTGCCTCCAGGTAAGCAGCCCCCGACTCAGGTACCCAAACCCCACATCCATACTTGGCTTTTCCCTACCTAGTGGCATTCACCTGGCGGAGAGGCCCTCGCACAACACAGGCTGCTCCAGGGACAGTCCAACTCCGAGCTGCACCCAGCTCCAGGCTGATGTGTTTATTCCCCAAATCAGAACAATGTCGCCAGCCCTGTGGCACTTAACTGGGCTTTTTATGAGGTTATTTACCGCAGTATCATTTGGGTCAGTGCTGGCCACCTGTGCGGCAGGCAGGTGCAGCGACCCGACCTGTGTTGCAAGTGCCCCTGGTGCGGGCAAAGCCTCCCGCCTGCAGCCCTGGCTCCTGGGCTGAGGCCAGTGGCCGGCGAGCCAGGGGCTGCGAGCCCCCTTCGTGCCTCTCCAGGGGGTTGGCTTCGCTCGAGCTGCCCCGGAAACCGCCTCCACGTCTCAGCCGCCGAAGGCAGCTCCCCGCCCCCCGCGGGGCCACGGCGCCCGGGGCCTTCCCAGCCCCTCGCCCCGCACCAGGCGCAGCCCGAGCCCGCAGCCCGGACACGGGCCCTCGGGGATGGGGTCAGCCGCCGAAGGCAGCTCCCCGCCCCCCGCGGGGCCACGGCGCCCGGGGCCTTCCCAGCCCCTCGCCCCGCACCAGGCGCAGCCCGAGCCCGCAGCCCGGACACGGGCCCTCGGGGATGGGGGTCTCGGCGCCGCACTCACCCTCGCACTCGCCGTCGCGCAGAGCGCGGCCCGC